GAATAGTGAACGCTGATGCACGCGAGTGGTGTTAGCGGTTGAGCGAATGCTCCCGAGGACAGGCTTGGGAGTCAACCCGCTGGTGCTCAACTATCGGGGCAATGCGTTTGGCCAGTTGGGACGTTTCAAAGATGCACTGGCAGACTATCGCGAAGCAACCGAAATTTTCATAAAGGACTCAGCTGCCAGGCCAAAGGCTGCACCTTAGCAGAGTATCCTTTTCCTTTTCGGCCGCCGCCCTGAGGACAAGGAGTACACACAAGCAGCGCTGTCTCGTTGCAACGAGGCTCTGGCTCTTTTTGGTGTAAGCGAGCCCATCGAAGCAATTTCGATTATGGAAGATGTTGTGCGGCGAGATCCTAGTATCGCAGATGCGCACATTGCCCTGGCGGCATCGTATTGGTCTGAGGGGGATTATAGCCGTGCTGAAGACGAATGGCGTGTCGCATGCCAGAACACAGACGTTGGTTGCCGTCAGTACAAGGACCTGTCCTGGGTGGAGAACATTCGGCGATGGCCGCCCCAGCTTGTTGGAGACCTTGGACGTTTCCTAAACAGGGATGCAAAAGGACAGAAGGACAAGCCAGCCTAGCCGTTCTAGTGCCTCTGATCTTCGTTCTAGGTAGCCTGAGCATGAAGTCCGACACTTCCGTGTCAGAGAGATCGATTGGGTGCACAGCGAGAAAGACCAAGCACGGCTTGTCATCTGGGAGATCCTGGTACTGCACACAGCGACGTTGCCACGAGATGAGTGGTGCTTCCGATTGGGGTCGTCTGACCTGTTGCCATGCGTGGTGGAACAGCACGAAGCTGGATCGTTGCAAAAGACCGATGCAAAGTAATCACATGCACCGGAGCAGCTCTTGGCGGGTCTGTGCCTACAACTCAGGCTTACACCAACGGACACGGCGTGCGGCGAGATGATGCGCAGGCCGTAGTCCGGTCCCCAGGGCGCGGGGAGTGGGGAGATGCGGCGCAGAATCCGTGCGCGCGTGGCGCAGCTGAGGTCTGGATGCGGCGCGCCGCCGAGCAGCTCGAGGCTCTCGGCCGACGCTCAGAAGACGGACGGACGGAAGACGCGCGCGTCGTCGTTTCTCTGGGTCGCGCGCTTGCGTCAGCAGGTCGAAGCCGCCTTCATGATGGGTGAGATCTACCGCAACCTTGGCATGTTCCTTTCCAGGCTCTGCAGGCTTGCGTTCCCCGTGAAGGCCAGGGCAGGGGTGTGCGCACCGACTTCTCAGAGGCTGTGGGCTCCTCGAGTGGCTTTCGAGAAGACTACATTGTGGTGACCGCGCGACTCGCGACCGCGCAGCTCAGGCGAAGTGGTACCAGCGAAGTGCTGAAGCTGGCTTTCCCAAGGCTTGGGCTTGGCCGCCTACGGGAGCATGCCAACAGTTAACTTGGTAGATCGAGCGCTCACGTGTCCCGGCCGCTGTTGCCACGAAGAATCACATGTCCATGACAATGGGAGGGAGCTTCATCCATTCCGCCTGGGCAGGCTCAGTACACGCTTGGCATGCTCTTCCTTGATGGCACGGGTTCGGCCCGAGATTTCCACAAAATGTTGAAAGTGGCACTGGGTGATCCGCTTGGCTTAAAGGTCTGCAGCAAGATATGCGGCAAGCTGAGATGTGGAGCGCGGCCCAGCGCAACATGCAGATCGCCACCCGTCAACAGATCCAGAAGCGAGTGTTCTTCCAAGGCTGAAGTTTGCGGCGCGGCAGGGTCATGCGGAGGTGTCCGACTTTGTTCGACCTTGAGAGCTCTTGACTACATGCAGCAGCTGGGAAGGCCAAGAATAACGTCGCGACGATCCACGCCCAGCGCGGCGAGGTTCAAGCAAGCCAATACGTTGGATCCTGGGATATAGAAGCACCCGGGCCAGGTCGAGGAAGCGTCACAGATCTGGGAAGAGCTTGCCCAAAGTGTTCGCCCCAAGCGTGCGTTTTCTCAAGCATGGTCGCAACAGCCAGGGCCACAGCCACAGCATGATGCTGCAATTTGCAGGCGGCGAGCCAAATGCCCAGTGCAATCTGGGCAGAGACCTTAGCACGACTGCACCGGAACAGGGTTGGTTGGAACACAGAGCTACCGCTGTTTTTTGGTGCAGTTGCTCTGCGTCACATGCTGCCATTTTCGTGAACTCATCATGTCAAGGCATGGCATTCCTGCGTGGAGCGGGGCGTGAGCAAAATCCCGAGGAAGCAAATCGATGGTTGAGCCTCGGCCTTGGCATGGGGCCATGGGGGTGCGAAGCGCATGCGACAGCCTGCGACTGCCTCCACCCTCCGTCTCCAATTCCTAGGCTTGGCAGCGGCCCAGGGACACCAAATGGCCGCCCAAGCTTTGGCTTCTGCGTGGTCCTTAGGCCCAGACTTCGCTCACCTGCACTGCTTCCTTGCACCAGAAGGCCGAAGCCGGAACCCTGACTCCCTGATGCTGACTTGCCAAGGTGTGCTGAGTTCGCTCCACTCTGCAGGACGCTTGCACTCAGATGCAGGAACTTGCCCTTGATTGCAGTGCTGCATTTATTGACAAACGTTGCAGCATCTTGAGCCGACCGAAATGCATGAACATGACCAGAAGACAGGAAACGCCCGGAAACACCAAACCCACCAATCTTGTGACTCATTTGAGTGGCCAGGGTTCAGCCAAAAAAGCGTCCCTCCCTCTCAAGATGGCGTTGCAGACTCCTTTGACGGACCTGCTCGGGATCAAGCATCCGATCATGCTGGCTGGCATGAATGGAGTCTCGCATTCAGACCTGGCTGCAGCAGTGAGCAACGCAGGCCAGGGACAGGCAAAGCCACGGCTGTTATTGCTGCAGTAGGGTCAGTGTTCACAAGCTGGTAAGGTGGAATTGGGTCAATCGGTGGATTGACGATGACACCAAAAGTCCTCACGAAGGAGATCACCTGGCTCAAAAATGCTTTGGCTGACAAGTCTCTTCCGTTCGGTGTCGATCTGGCCATTCCGCAGATAGGTGGTAATGCCCGAAAGACGAATCACGACTACACACACGGTCATCTTCCAGAACTGATCGACATCATTGTGGCGGAAAAAGTCAAGCTGTTCATCTGTGCCGTCGGAGTGCCTCCACAATGGGCTGTAGACAAGCTTCACGCCGGAGGGGTTGTCATCGCCAACATGGTCGGCTCCGTTCGGAACACCCAGAAAGCCTTGGATGCAGGCGTGGACATTATCATCGCCCAGGGCACAGAGGGTGGAGGCCATACTGGGGATATTGGCACTATGTGTCTAATTCCGCAAGTGGTGGATGCATGCCGAGGGCGCAGTGCCTCGACGATAAATCTAGAATCTAGTCTTCCTTCCCAGTCTGCTGCCTTCAAACAGTCGAAAGCTTGCCTGCGCTTGTACCGGTCTTCAGGGAGAGCGTTTCAAAGATTCTAAGCAGCGGAGGGGGAACGTGGGGAAGAATGTTTGTGAGCGTTGAGGACTGCTTGTGCCGTTGACCGGAGCACTGGCGTATTTGCACCAAGGAAATGCTTTTGGTGGCCCTGTAGTCTGTGTTGCGGCTGGTGGCATTTTTGACGGCCGCGGCTTGGCGGCCGCATTGGGCCTGGGCGCTTCCGGTGTTTGGGTGGGCACCCGCTTCATCTGTGCCGAAGAGTCTGCTGCACCACAGGCGCTCGGACGTCCCAAGCCGCTCCTTCGGGTCATAGGTTTTGTAAATGCCAGACTAATTAGACAATGATCTATCAGGCCCACAAGGACAAAGTCATCGCAGCCGGAAGCCAGGACCTGTGAAACGGCTTGCTCGTTGATCTGATCTGCATTAAATGTCAGCTTTCTGATGTGCGGTCTCCCGAGAAGTGGAAGGCGAAGCCGATCATGATGTGATGACTGTCATAAACTTGCAGTGCCCCTCCCTGCAGGATACGTTGAGGACCCTGGTGCTTTCTGGTCGGCCTCTGCGCTTGATTCCAAACGATTGGGTCCAGAGCTGGGAGAAGGCAGCTCGCTTGCATCGTGTTCTTTCTGTGCTCCTTACCATGAAGCGGAAGTCTGTGTGAGGATCCGGCCAAGATCAAGGATCTTTGTGATCAGGGCATCGTCCCCCTGACCCATGACATGAAGGATCCCGAGTCCGACTCAGAGAAGCGAAAGGGCATATTCGATGCAATTAACAGCCTGGCTGGGCAAGCCGTTGGAGGTGTTCGAAGTGTCGAGCCTGCACAGAAGATTGTTAACGACATGATCACGCAGGCTACCGAGGTGCTGCAGGGGAATGTATCAATGATCAGCAAGCTGTAGAGGACCCTTTGTGCATCAACTTATGTGAAAGTCTCAGCAGATGCGCTTGGTATCTCCTGACGTTTGAAAAGACCAAAAGAGTCATACGCTTCGCCTTGATGTTGGTGCCGTGCTTGCCAGTTCGCACCGTGCTTGCCGGAAAAAAGGACACATTGCTGGGGCTGGTTCAGAGTCAACAAGACCACAGTAGAATTGACGACCTACACGACTGGCTGGATAGCTTCAGTCTTTCCTTCGCAGGACGGACGTGGGGGTCCGGCAAGGCATTCATCGGGTCGTGATGCTTAAGATTTGCACAAGCGTGGGCGTGTGAAGATCCTGAGCTTCACGAAAAGTGCTTGCCGCGGGGCGTGAATCTGCAGTGCACAGCTTCCCTTCGGTGCTTGAGCATGCCGAGTCCAGAAAGGTCCAACCATGGGACGAGTTTCTGCGCTTTTCTTAAAGCTTCTGCTGCCCGCGTCCTGGTCTTGTCTGACCGATCTGGACGCACGAAGCGGCCTTGGAGGTTGAGGCTTTGTTGTCAAGGGGGTCCCATACTATGCTATGGCTGCATTCGCATCTAGAGCATCGCCGGTCTGTTTGCACTTCGGCTTAAGGCTTTGCCAAAGAGCAGCCGACATTTCTAGCAGTCAGGAAAAGGTCGCAAGAGATAAGAGAAATATGCATATTTAAGATTCGACATGCACGTTCTGCTGCTCCATCGAAGTGTAGACGCGTCCACGTCGATGGAGTGGTTGTCGGCCGATCCTTGGCTGCACTGTGTCTCACTCCAGCAACGACAGGACTTAGTCATTTCCTGCATCTCGAGGCAGTGGAGGCCGTCTCTTCCCTCTGGGAGGCACAACCCCGCCACGGAGCCTCATGACATGTCGGAAGCTTCAGCCGGTTGCAAGGATCCGGCCCCTCCCCAAAAAGCCGGGGCCTCGTCCTCCTGTTGGTGTGCATCAGGGCACGCCGTGGCTGTGCCCGCTATGCAGGATTTTCCACGAACGTTGGAAGGCTTCGAGAAGTTGCCAGTCGCCCGGTGACACCGTCTGCACGTGCATGCGCGTGCATGCGCGTGCTGCAGAGCTTTCCGCTGTTTTCCGAGGCTGAGCCTGGTAGCGGACGGCCTGACCACGTCCCTACCGCATCTGCCTTCGCAAGCAGATGTGGCCGGCTCAGTCAAGCAATCATCGCGGAAATATCTTCTCAGAACGGCTAATGAAGGCCCTCGCGGAACAGATCGAGCATCTCGGCTTCGCGTCACCTGGCTGTCAGCTGGAGGGATCCGGGCCAAGATTTAAAGCATCATCTTCTCATGCTCTCCACTCATCGCCAGTTCTGCTTGGCGTCTTCGCAGGCTCTCCTACTCGGAGGAGAAGGGCACCGGCTTCTTCCGCGTCTTTCAAGAGCGGAAGGCCAGGCGGCAAGCGCCGGTGCGAGTTTTTCGCAGTTCCGAGAAGACAGATCGTTGCAGAGTGGTTTTCTATCACGCCATCCGTGCCAAAGGTCATGGCCCTCCTCGTGCAGCACGGTCTCCTCGCGCAGCACACCCTCCGCCGGGTCAGGGCGGCTCTGTTCCGCACAGTGCCCCTCGGACCTGTGAATCGGCCCCCTCATATCATATATCGGCGTTTCCGCGCTGCATGCCACTGCATCCGAATCTTTCACGCTGCTGTAAGCCCAGGGCGATGATCCTGGTAAATGTGGCTCGCCGAGACATTTGAGCACTTGTTGTTCAGCCTTCTTTTCTGTCCCCCTGCGGCTGTTGAGGTGAAGGACGAGTCGTTTCCGCACCTCCTCGATCAGCTTAACCAGCTGGCACAGGGGCAGCACCGGCCTCGGCTGCGCTGGGTCTTTGGTGGAACGGCCGGTGGCGATCGTTTCCCTGATCCGGCCGAGGCCCGAGATCCTGGACAAGTCTCAGGATGTGCTCGCCAAGTTCCCAGGATTCGGGAGATCATCAAAGCAGACCTGATTTTTAGAGCCACTGAGGGCAACTACATCGCTGCACTGAAGCGGATGGCGCTCCGGCTCACCCCACAGCCAGACGCTCACAGGGCCGACCGCTTTGATCGGCGCTGCCCCAAATTAGAAATCACGTGTCGTCCGCGCTTGCGGTTTGAGGAATGCCGACCAGTTCCTGGACGTTCGGGTCCTCGGAGTGTCTCAAGACTTCGAGGGGCGTGACTTGCTTTCAAGCTTGCCGTCTGCATCGCCGAGGCCACAGCTGGCCCTGAGGCGGTTTGCCCGTGCTCTTGAAGTCCATCGTCTCCTGACCGCCCGCCAGGGGGCGAAGCTGCCCCTCATGGAGGAGGCCGACATCTCTGCGTCTCTATTCAGGGTGCATGGGTGTGGGTGGGAAGGAGGTCTCCGTTGCAGGCTGCACGCTATGTCTTCCACGGCTACGACATGGCCCAGATTGGATCGAGAGTGGTCTGTCTCTGCACCTCGGCAGAACTCGGTTTGAAGCTGCCCGAGCCGCGCAGCCAAATCGCACCTTCTTGCCAGGCCTCCTGAAATCCAAGAATCCTCGTGCCACTGGGATGCACTGACAGTTGACGGCGTTTCCCAGCGCGACTGCTCCCCACACCAGGTGCATGGTGCAGCCGTCGAGGCTGCAGCTGGCGGTCCTCGGATTTGTCGGGCTGTGTCGGGCTGGTCGTGCCATGCAGGTGTTGACCAGCAAATTGCTGCCGGAGCTGGCCGAACGGCTGCATTGCGCTTGGGCGGCGTGGCTTGCATTATCGTGGCGGTTCCGATGATGAGGTAGCGCAAAGACAGAATTTCGACGGAACCGAGGCTCAAATGGCAACGGCCATGCAGCAGGACAACTCCAGTGCCCTGCAAGCCGCGCTGGCGAAGGAGAAGGAGCCTGCCTCTCCGGCTTGTGATGCCAGATCTTGTGGTTCATATTACGTTTCAGCTGCTTATAGGATGTGCTGGATTTCATTACCGACCTCGTGAGCCTTGGGCAGCCTGCGGTGACGCAGGCGAGTCCAGCGGCGAGCTATGTGTTCGGAGTGTGTTTTGTGCATGTCAGGCCGTGGCAGAGTTGATCGTGTGCGGGCCTCTGCTCTCCCAGCTGCACGTGCTGGCAGCACCCGTCTGGTTGGGCTGGGCATTTCAGTGAACTCGGCAGCGGCAAGCTGCTTGAGCCAGGCAGCGCGGCACAGGTACGTGAACAGACCCAAGAGCATCTGGGAGGCATCTGACATGCTTGCGATAACTTGCGCTTGTCTTGCGTGGTGTTTCTGGCACGCGGAGATACTCATGATGGATGTCGAGAACAACGGGCGGCCGCCTTGTCGTTGCGCTGTGTTTCTGATGTGTTGATGCACGAGTCGTGACGGCCTGTCATGGCCTGTGCCCGAGGCCCGTGCCATCGCCGGAGTGTGTCGACGCCATGCAGGACCAGCGTTCACGATACGGCACCCATCGGGCACTTGGAAGGGTCATAGCCACGAGGCCGCCGAAGCGGAGAGGGCCTGTGCTGCCGAAGAGGCCAAGCTCGGAAGGTTCGGCTTAATGCGCTCTCGTGGAGCTTTCTGAGGATCCACCGGACCAGCTTGCTGCCGTTCTGGCTGTCCGCTCTCCTCTTAGATCCCATGCACAAGGAATGCAGAGATATGCAGAGGCAGAGGGACGCAAGTTGCAAACTCTGAGGCTCGCTGGCCAATTTCTTGCAGAGGATGCAGACAGAGCGTTTGTCGGGAGTCGTGGTCCCGTTGATTCAGCTGCTGCTGTGGCCAGTCGCGACCTGAGCGCTTTCGCATTTCCTGTCCACTTCCGGTCTGAGCCAACTGCTCCAACCTGAAAGCGAGCGCGAGGCGGTGCCCGCAGCACTGGCAGAGAGCAAGGCCTGTGGCACACAGGGCAGGGCGAGAGAAATTCTGATTGGCATGAGCTGGCGAGAGCTGCAGTGCGCCGCCGTGTTCTCGAAGTTGGGCACAGCCATCGGAGAGTCGGGGAGACTCTGACGGGATCGCGAGCGCAGCTTGCTCAGGGGCCAGCGAACGCTGACAAGACAAGGGCAGCGGTTCAGGCAATGACATGCACGGTCTTATATTGTTTCTGACAGACATGTCACTTGTAGTGCTGCCATCACACTAGGGCCCCTAACCGCTTCAATCCCACAAACCCGCGATGGAGCACAGTCAGTTCATCAACAGCAAGCGGGCCTTGTGATTTTGCCTTGGAGGCTCTGGCCGAGCTGTGCACAGCCTGCGGAGTGGAGGCGCCAGAAGTGATGCTGCCTCCATCTGTCTCAGCTAGCCTGCTGGTCTGCGTCGCTGCCAGGAAGCGGCGCTCGCAACCTCTGAGGCACCAAGATAAGTTGCATTGTGGGCATCTCTACTGCAGCAGCAGCACGGCAGATGTTCGCCGGAGGTGTCCGCACAGCAGCGCTCGTCGGAGAGGCCAGCTGCGAACTTGCACCGGTTCGGCAATCACAAGCGGCACCTTTCGTGCAATCCAGGCAGATCTGGCTTCGAGATTGCACTGGCGCAGATCTTTTGGGTAAGGCAGCAGAAGGGGAGCATGACAAGCCACCGACTTCTGCCTATTTCTGCACGATTGCCCTGACATGCAGGAGAAGGGGATCAGCAATCCTTTCCGCGGGGCCGTGCAGGTGCGGGCCTTTCTCGCCAGTCTCGTCTGATCATGGTGCGCTGCTCGCTTGCAGTTTTGAAACCTAGTGAGTTAGAGTACCACAGGCCATGCTCCACGACCAGAGCATGATGGGCGTCTCGGGTGTCTCGGCTCGGCTGTGGTTGTTGGGGCCTTTTCCATTGCTCTCATCGCCGGTGCCTTCGAGGCCTTGAGAATGGCTTTGGACGGTGCTGCTGGGCGGGCAGCAACGACAGGCATCATCAAAGGGCCCGTGCAAGTGTTTGGGATATAGCCACACCCAAGTGGGATCCCAAGCATCTAAATCTGAAGATGTTCAGGGTGCTTGAAGCTCCAGGGACGAGCTCTGTAATGTGTTGGCTCTCTTCACGAAAGCTAGCGCCCTTGCTTTGGCGTTGTTCAGGCAGGCAGCGGCAGTGCATCCGTGGTGTCGGGGTGGTTGCGGGACATTTCTTGCGGAAAAGGGATGTGGGTGGGGGCAGGGAGTAGGAATGCATGCCCGGAGTGGAAGCTGCTGCTCTCAAGTGGTCAATGGTGTGTAGTCTTTCAAAGAGGTGTGCCGGTGTGTGTGTGTGTGTGTGTGTGTGTGTGTGTATGTATAGCATATGCTGAGTGTGTCACAAAAGTTCGCTTGCTCCAGACGTCTCCAGACACTCGCTCTGCTTACGCCATCGCACAGTCGTTCACTTGTCGCTCACTGCTATAGCTCAACTCAAGCATTCAGTCTCGCTCGTGCACTGACGCACTCGCTTATCAACTTGCCGCACTCCGCTGACCCGGCTTCTTCACCGAACTTGAAAGCAACAGAGCGCGCCCGTCCGCTCACTCTCTCGCTCAATTTGTGTATCCTAGCGCCGTCAATGACTCGTCATCCACGGCTTCACTCACTCATGTTTACGTCTCTCACAGATACCGCTGCTTCTGTGGTTGCTGGTGCTGTTGCTGGTTCCCAAAGCGTGGGGTTGGCTTTTGTTGGCCCTGGAGTGCCTCTCAGCATACCCTGTGATCTTCCGTGCCGGCGGACGTTTGGAGCCATTCTTCCATCGATAGTCACAGTTGTGGGAGAGTGGGAACCTAAACTCACGCGCCTCCGCCAGTATGGTGCCGTGTGCTGCGGTGGCATCTTATTTGCTGCACCAGTGCCAAGCCCTGGACTCAGTGTGAGAACAAGGCTGTGTGGCTTGCTGCAGCTGCATAATTTGACATAATATATCGAAGGACATCCACCCGATGCTGCTCGAGACTTCCGGGCTGTTGCCGAAGAAGGCCGATATGGCTGAGCCTTCTGTATAAAGTACTGTGAACTTTGGGTCGAGGTGGGTTTTTTCCAGGGTGGTGTGCTGTGACACGCATCTTGTGACACAGTTGGGGGATGACATGCAGGCGGCGGCTCCGGCGGTGCCGAAAACCGGCACCGCCGAGAAGAAGAGCATCAAGCGCGAAGGCCGACGGAGCCAGCTCTGCGCCTTCCGGAGGTTGGCGTGCCTTTTGCAGGTGGTCAGCCAAGGCAGCAAAACCAGACTTTCTGGCAGATGCTGCGATGCTTGTGAAGCACGCAGGCAGCCGGGGCGTCAGAAGTTTCGCGATGTATGCAGGATCAATTTCGACACCATGCTGCAACAAGGTCATTTGATTGATGGAGTGGCAAGTTTTCTGTCACACGGACCGCTTCTTTGAATGCTTGTCGTTTTCTTGCTTGTCCCTAGCATCAGTAACATCGGTGTCATGTTTGACATGCTGGTCGAGCTCGTCCTTGCGTCACGGTAGTAACCCATGCACTGTGCAGTCCCGTTCTTGCAAAGCTTCGTCGAAGAGGAAATCACTTCTCGGCAGCCCACAACTCGCCATTCATCAATTTTGACAGTGCCCGAAAAGAGGATCGCTGCCGGAAGCCTGCTGCAAAGGCCCCCCGCATCTTGTGGATGCTGTTCATGAGACGGAAGCTAAACGTGTGAGGGTTACGTCAAGCTTCTGCTCACATCTCTGAGGACGGCGGGTCTGACTGCCTGCTTGTGATGCTACGAGTCTACGAGCACTAAGCACTCGCGCGCCCCGATTCGAAAATTGCCGCTGCATCCTTGTCGCCAGCTTGACGGCCAGTGCGGGTTCACCTAACAATCCGCTCCATGCAGCGCATGTCTCTGCACAAATTGAATTTGTTCTTTCATTTGGATCGCTGATCAGCTCCCGCTGCTTCGCCAAAGAGCGGTCTGCAATGCGTTCTTGCATGTCACGAGTCAGAAGTCACAGGAGCCAGCGGTGCTCTAGAGTGCATCTGATTTCGCAGTTGCACAATCGTCGAATGTCTGGAAACCCCCCAGCATAGCCACGTCCGCATCAATGGAGTGGCTTTCGGCCGTTCCTTGGCTGCACTCGAGATGACTGTGCGCTTAGCAGCCAATTTCCAGCACCGTCTCGCTGAGGCAGTGGAGGCCGTCTCTTCCCTCTGGGAGGCACAACCCCGCCACGGAGCCTCATGACATGTCGGAAGCTTCAGCCGGTTGCAAGGATCCGGCCCCTCCCCAAAAAGCCGGGGCCTCGTCCTCCTGTTGGTGTGCATCAGGGCACGCCGTGGCTGTGCCCGCTGTGCAGGATTTTCCACGAACGTTGGAAGGCTTCGAGAAGTTGCCAGTCGCCCGGTGACACCGTCTGCACGTGCATGCGCGTGCATGCGCGTGCATGCGCGTGCTGCAGAGCTTTCCGCTGTTTTCCGAGGCTGAGCCTGGTAGCGGACGGCCTGACCACGTCCCTACCGCATCTGCCTTCGCAAGCAGATGTGGCCGGCTCAGTCAAGCAATCATCGCGGAAATATCTTCTCAGAACGGCTAATGAAGGCCCTCGCGGAACAGATCGAGCATCTCGGCTTCGCGTCACCTGGCTGTCAGCTGGAGGGATCCGGGCCAAGATTTAAAGCATCATCTTCTCATGCTCTCCACTCATCGCCAGTTCTGCTTGGCGTCTTCGCAGGCTCTCCTACTCGGAGGAGAAGGGCACCGGCTTCTTCCGCGTCTTTCAAGAGCGGAAGGCCAGGCGGCAAGCCGCCCCGGTGCGAGTTTTTCGCAGTTCCGAGAAGACAGATCGTTGCAGAGTGGTTTTCTATCACGCCATCCGTGCCAAAGGTCATGGCCCTCCTCGTGCAGCACGGTCTCCTCGCGCAGCACACCCTCCGCCGGGTCAGGGCGGCTCTCTTCCGCACGGTGCCCCTCGGACCTGTGAATCGGCCCCCTCATATCATACATGGGTGGTTGTCAAAATTAGGGTCCCTTTTTGGGTCCTTAATATCGCACGGCACCTATAATATTTAGGGTGCCCAAAAAGGGACCCTAATTTGACAACCACCTATATCGGCGTTTCCGCGCTGCATGCCACTGCATCCGAATCTTTCACGCTGCTGTAAGCCCAGGGCGATGATCCTGGTAAATGTGGCTCGCCGAGACATTTGAGCACTTGTTGTTCAGCCTTCTTTTCTGTCCCCCTGCGGCTGTTGAGGTGAAGGACGAGTCGTTTCCGCACCTCCTCGATCAGCTTAACCAGCTGGCACAGGGGCAGCACCGGCCTCGGCTGCGCTGGGTCTTTGGTGGAACGGCCGGTGGCGATCGTTTCCCTGATCCGGCCGAGGCCCGAGATCCCGGACAAGTCTCAGGATGTGCTCGCCAAGTTCCCAGGATTCGGGAGATCATCAAAGCAGACCTGATTTTTAGAGCCACTGAGGGCAACTACATCGCTGCACTGAAGCGGATGGCGCTCCGGCTCACCCCACAGCCAGACGCTCACAGGGCCGACCGCTTTGATCGGCGCTGCCCCAAATTAGAAATCACGTGTCGTCCGCGCTTGCGGTTTGAGGAATGCCGACCAGTTCCTGGACGTTCGGGTCCTCGGAGTGTCTCAAGACTTCGAGGGGCGTGACTTGCTTTCAAGCTTGCCGTCTGCATCGCCGAGGCCACAGCTGGCCCTGAGGCGGTTTGCCCGTGCTCTTGAAGTGCATCGTCTCCTGACCGCCCGCCAGGGGGCGAAGCTGCCCCTCATGGAGGAGGCCGACATCTCTGCGTCTCTATTCAGGGTGCATGGGTGTGGGTGGGAAGGAGGTCTCCGTTGCAGGCTGCACGCTATGTCTTCCACGGCTACGACATGGCCCAGATTGGATCGAGAGTGGTCTGTCTCTGCACCTCGGCAGAACTCGGTTTGAAGCTGCCCGAGCCGCGCAGCCAAATCGCACCTGCTTGCCTGCCAGGCCTCCTGAAATCAAAGAATCCTCGTGCCACTGGGATGCACTTGACAATTGACGGCGTTTCCAAGCGCGACTGCTCCCCACACCAGGTGCATGGTGCAGCCGTCGAGGCTGCAGCTGGCGGTCCTCGGATTTGTCGGGCTGTGTCGGGCTGGTCGTGCCATGCAGGTGTTGACCAGCAAATTGCTGCCGGAGCTGGCCGAACGGCTGCATTGCGCTTGGGCGGCGTGGCTTGCATTATCGTGGCGGTTCCGATGATGAGGTAGCGCAAAGACAGAATTTCGACGGAACCGAGGCTCAAATGGCAACGGCCATGCAGCAGGACAACTCCAGTGCCCTGCAAGCCGCGCTGGCGAAGGAGAAGGAGCCTGCCTCTCCGGCTTGTGATGCCAGATCTTGTGGTTCATATTACGTTTCAGCTGCTTATAGGATGTGCTGGATTTCATTACCGACCTCGTGAGCCTTGGGCAGCCTGCGGTGACGCAGGCGAGTCCAGCGGCGAGCTATGTGTTCGGAGTGTGTTTTGTGCATGTCAGGCCGTGGCAGAGTTGATCGTGTGCGGGCCTCTGCTCTCCCAGCTGCACGTGCTGGCAGCACCCGTCTGGTTGGGGTGGGCATGCCAGTGAACTCGGCAAATAGCTGCTTGAGCCAGGCAGCGCGGCACAGGTACGTGAACAGACCCAAGAGCATCTGGGAGGCATCTGACATGCTTGCGATAGCTTGCGCTTGTCTTGCGTGGTGTTTCTGGCACGCGGAGATACTCATGATGGATGTCGAGAACAACGGGCGGCCGCCTTGTCGTTGCGCTGTGTTTCTGATGTGTTGATGCACGAGTCGTGACGGCCTGTCATGGCCTGTGCCCGAGGCCCGTGCCATCGCCGGAGTGTGTCGACGCCATGCAGGACCAGCGTTCACGATACGGCACCCATCGGGCACTTGGAAGGGTCATAGCCACGAGGCCGCCGAAGCGGAGAGGGCCTGTGCTGCCGAAGAGGCCAAGCTCGGAAGGTTCGGCTTAATGCGCTCTCGTGGAGCTTTCTGAGGATCCACCGGACCAGCTTGCTGCCGTTCTGGCTGTCCGCTCTCCTCTTAGATCCCATGCACAAGGAATGCAGAGATATGCAGAGGCAGAGGGACGCAAGTTGCAAACTCTGAGGCTCGCTGGCCAATTTCTTGCAGAGGATGCAGACAGAGCGTTTGTCGGGAGTCGTGGTCCCGTTGATTCAGCTGCTGCTGTGGCCAGTCGCGACCTGAGCGCTTTCGCATTTCCTGTCCACTTCCGGTCTGAGCCAACTGCTCCAACCTGAAAGCGAGCGCGAGGCGGTGCCCGCAGCACTGGCAGAGAGCAAGGCCTGTGGCACACAGGGCAGGGCGAGAGAAATTCTGATTGGCATGAGCTGGCGAGAGCTGCAGTGCGCCGCCGTGTTCTCGAAGTTGGGCACAGCCATCGGAGAGTCGGGGAGACTCTGACGGGATCGCGAGCGCAGCTTGCTCAGGGGCCAGCGAACGCTGACAAGACAAGGGCAGCGGTTCAGGCAGGGACATGCACGGTCTTACATTGTTTCTGACAGACACGTTACTTGTAGTGCCGCCATCACACTAGGGCCCCTAACCGCTTCAATCCCACAAACCCGCGATGGAGCACAGTCAGTTCATCAACAGCAAGCGCGGCCTTGTGATTTTGCCTTGGAGGCTCTGGCCGAGCTGTGCACAGCCTGTGGAGTGGAGGCGCCAGAAGTGATGCTGCCTCCATCTGTCTCAGCCAGCCTGCTGGTCTGCGTCGCTGCCAGGAAGCGGCGCTCACAACCTCTGAGGCACCAAGATAAGTTGCATTGTGGGCATCTCTACTGCAGCAGCAGCACGGCAGATGTTCGCCGGAGGTGTCCGCACAGCAGCGCTCGTCGGAGAGGCCAGCTGCGAACTTGCACCGGTTCGGCAATCACAAGCGGCACCTTTCGTGCAATCCAGGCAGATCTGGCTTCGAGATTGCACTGGCGCAGATCTTTTGGGTAAGGCAGCAGAAGGGGAGCATGACAAGCCACCGACTTCTGCCTATTTCTGCACGATTGCCCTGACATGCAGGAGAAGGGGATCAGCAATCCTTTCCGCGGGGCCGTGCAGGTGCGGGCCTTTCTCGCCAGTCTCGTCTGATCATGGTGCGCTGCGCTCTTGCAGTTTTGAATCCTAGTGAGTTAGAGTACCACAGGCCATGCTCCACGACCAGAGCATGATGGGCGTCTCGGGTGTCTCGGCTCGGCTGTGGTTGTTGGGGCCTTTTCCATTGCTCTCATCGCCGGTGCCTTCGAGGCCTTGAGAATGGCTTTGGACGGTGCTGCTGGGCGGGCAGCAACGACAGGCATCATCAAAGGGCCCGTGCAAGTGTTTGGGATATAGCCACACCCAAGTGGGATCCCACGCATCTAAATCTGAAGATGTTCAGGGTGCTTGAAGCTCCAGGGACGAGCTCTGTAATGTGTTGGCTCTCTTCACGAAAGCTAGCGCCCTTGCTTTGGCATTGTTCCGGCAGGCAGCGGCAGTGCATCCGTGGTGTCGGGGTGGTTGCGGGACATTTCTTGCGGAACAGGGATGTGGGTGGGGGCAGGGAGTAGGAATGCATGCCCGGAGTGGAAGCTGCTGCTCTCAAGTGGTCAATGGTGTGTAGTCTTTCAAAGAGGTGTGCCGGTGTTTGTGTGTATGTATAGCATATGCTGAGTGTCACACAAAAGTTCGCTTGCTCCAAACGTCTCCAGACACTCGCTCTGCTTACGCCATCGCACAGTCGTTCACTTGTCGCTCACTGCTATAGCTCAACTCAAGCATTCAGTCTCGCTCGTGCACTGACGCACTCGCTTATCAACTTGCCGCACTCCGTTGACCCGGCTTCTTCACCGAACTTGAAAGTAACAGAGCGCGCCCGTCCGCTCACTCTCTCGCTCAATTTGTGTATCCTAGCGCCGTCAATGACTCGTCATCCACGGCTTCACTCACTCATGTTTACGTCTCTCACAGATACCGCTGCTTCTGTGGTTGCTGGTGCTGTTGCTGGTTCCCAAAGCGTGGGGTTGGCTTTTGTTGGCCCTGGAGTGCCTCTCAGCATACCCTGTGATCTTCCGTGCCGGCGGACGTTTGGAGCCATTCTTCCATCGATAGTCACAGTTGTGGGAGAGTGGGAACCTAAACTCACGCGCCTCCGCCAGTATGGTGCCGTGTGCTGCGGTGGCATCTTATTTGCTGCACCAGTGCCAAGCCCTGGACTCAGTGTGAGAACAAGGCTGTGTGGCTTGCTGCAGCTGCATAATTTGACATAATATATCGAAGGACATCCACCCGATGCTGCTCGAGACTTCCGGGCTGTTGCCGAAGAAGGCCGATATGGCTGAGCCTTCTGTATAAAGTACTGTGAACTTTGGGTCGAGGTGGGTTTTTTCCAGGGTGGTGTGCTGTGACACGCATCTTGTGACACAGTTGGGGGATGACATGCAGGCGGCGGCTCCGGCGGTGCCGAAAACCGGCACCGCCGAAAGAAGAGCATCAAGCGCGAAGGCCGACGGAGCCAGCTCTGCGCCTTCCGGAGGTTGGCGTGCCTTTTGCAGGTGGTCAGCCAAGGCAGCAAAACCAGACTTTCTGGCAGATGCTGCGATGCTTGTGAAGCACGCAGGCAGCCGGGGCGTCAGAAGTTTCGCGATGTATGCAGGATCAATTTCGACACCATGCTGCAACAAGGTCATTTGATTGATGGAGTGGCAAGTTTTCTGTCACACGGACCGCTTCTTTCCGTGCTTGTCCTTTTCTTGCTTGTCCCTAGCATCAGTAACATCGGTGTCATGTTTGACATGCTGGTCGAGCTCGTCCTTGCGTCACAGTAGTAACCCATGCACTGTGCAGTCCCGTTCTTGCAAAGCTTCGTCGAAGAGGAAATCACTTCTCGGCAGCCCACAACTCGCCATTCATCAATTTTGACAGTGCCCGAAAAGAGGATCGCTGCCGGAAGCCTGCTGCAAAGGCCCCCCGCATCTTGTGGATGCTGTTCATGAGACGGAAGCTAAACGTGTGAGGGTTCTGCTCACATCTCTGAGGACGGCGGGTCTGACTGCCTGCTTGTGATGCTACGAGTCTACGAGCACTAAGCACTCGCGCGCCCCGATTTTTCGAAAATTGCCGCTGCATCCTTGTCGCCAGCTTGACGGCCAGTGCGGGTTCACCTAACAATCCGCTCCATGCAGCGCATGTCTCTGCACAAATTGAATTTGTTCTTTCATTTGGATCGCTGATCAGCTCCCGCTGCTTCGCCAAAGAGCGGTCTGCAATGCGTTCTTGCATGTCACGAGTCAGAAGTCACAGGAGCCAGCGGTGCTCTAGAGTGCAGGTTCTGATTTCGCAGTTGCACAATCGTCGAATGTCTGGAAACCCACCAGCATAGCCACGTCCGCATCAATGGAGTGGCTTTCGGCCGTTCCTTGGCTGCACTCGAGATGACTGTGCGCTTAGCAGCCAATTTCCAGCACCGTCTCGCTGAGGCAGTGGAGGCCGTCTCTTCCCTCTGGGAGGCACAACCCCGCCACGGAGCCTCATGACATGTCGGAAGCTTCAGCCGGTTGCAAGGATCCGGCCCCTCCCCAAAAAGCCGGGGCCTCGTCCTCCTGTTGGTGTGCATCAGGGCACGCCGTGGCTGTGCCCGCTGTGCAGGATTTTCCACGAACGTTGGAAGGCTTCGAGAAGTTGCCAGTCGCCCGGTGACACCGTCTGCACGTGCATGCGCGTGCATGCGCGTGCATGCGCGTGCTGCAGAGCTTTCCGCTGTTTTCCGAGGCTGAGCCTGGTAGCGGACGGCCTGACCACGTCCCTACCGCATCTGCCTTCGCAAGCAGATGTGGCCGGCTCAGTCAAGCAATCATCGCGGAAATATCTTCTCAGAACGGCTAATGAAGGCCCTCGCGGAACAGATCGAGCATCTCGGCTTCGCGTCACCTGGCTGTCAGCTGGAGGGATCCGGGCCAAGATTTAAAGCATCATCTTCTCATGCTCTCCACTCATCGCCAGTTCTGCTTGGCGTCTTCGCAGGCTCTCCTACTCGGAGGAGAAGGGCACCGGCTTCTTCCGCGTCTTTCAAGAGCGGAAGGCCAGGCGGCAAGCCGCCCCGGTGCGAGTTTTTCGCAGTTCCGAGAAGACAGATCGTTGCAGAGTGGTTTTCTATCACGCCATCCGTGCCAAAGGTCATGGCCCTCCTCGTGCAGCACGGTCTCCTCGCGCAGCACACCCTCCGCCGGGTCAGGGCGGCTCTCTTCCGCACGGTGCCCCTCGGACCTGTGAATCGGCCCCCTCATATCATACATGGGTGGTTGTCAAAATTAGGGTCCCTTTTTGGGTCCTTAATATCGCACGGCACCTATAATATTTAGGGTGCCCAAAAAGGGACCCTAATTTGACAACCACCTATATCGGCGTTTCCGCGCTGCATGCCACTGCATCCGAATCTTTCACGCTGCTGTAAGCCCAGGGCGATGATCCTGGTAAATGTGGCTCGCCGAGACATTTGAGCACTTGTTGTTCAGCCTTCTTTTCTGTCCCCCTGCGGCTGTTGAGGTGAAGGACGAGTCGTTTCCGCACCTCCTCGATCAGCTTAACCAGCTGGCACAGGGGCAGCACCGGCCTCGGCTGCGCTGGGTCTTTGGTGGAACGGCCGGTGGCGATCGTTTCCCTGATCCGGCCGAGGCCCGAGATCCCGGACAAGTCTCAGGATGTGCTCGCCAAGTTCCCAGGATTCGGGAGATCATCAAAGCAGACCTGATTTTTAGAGCCACTGAGGGCAACTACATCGCTGCACTGAAGCGGATGGCGCTCCGGCTCACCCCACAGCCAGACGCTCACAGGGCCGACCGCTTTGATCGGCGCTGCCCCAAATTAGAAATCACGTGTCGTCCGCGCTTGCGGTTTGAGGAATGCCGACCAGTTCCTGGACGTTCGGGTCCTCGGAGTGTCTCAAGACTTCGAGGGGCGTGACTTGCTTTCAAGCTTGCCGTCTGCATCGCCGAGGCCACAGCTGGCCCTGAGGCGGTTTGCCCGTGCTCTTGAAGTCCATCGTCTCCTGACCGCCCGCCAGGGGGCGAAGCTGCCCCTCATGGAGGAGGCCGACATCTCTGCGTCTCTATTCAGGGTGCATGGGTGTGGGTGGGAAGGAGGTCTCCGTTGCAGGCTGCACGCTATGTCTTCCACGGCTACGACATGGCCCAGATTGGATCGAGAGTGGTCTGTCTCTGCACCTCGGCAGAACTCGGTTTGAAGCTGCCCGAGCCGCGCAGCCAAATCGCACCTGCTTGCCTGCCAGGCCTCCTGAAATCAAAGAATCCTCGTGCCACTGGGATGCACTTGACAATTGACGGCGTTTCCAAGCGCGACTGCTCCCCACACCAGGTGCATGGTGCAGCCGTCGAGGCTGCAGCTGGCGGTCCTCGGATTTGTCGGGCTGTGTCGGGCTGGTCGTGCCATGCAGGTGTTGACCAGCAAATTGCTGCCGGAGCTGGCCGAACGGCTGCATTGCGCTTGGGCGGCGTGGCTTGCATTATCGTGGCGGTTCCGATGATGAGGTAGCGCAAAGACAGAATTTCGACGGAACCGAGGCTCAAATGGCAACGGCCATGCAGCAGGACAACTCCAGTGCCCTCCAAGCCGCGCTGGCGAAGGAGAAGGAGCCTGCCTCTCCGGCTTGTGATGCCAGATCTTGTGGTTCATATTACGTTTCAGCTGCTTATAGGATGTGCTGGATTTCATTACCGACCTCGTGAGCCTTGGGCAGCCTGCGGTGACGCAGGCGAGTCCAGCGGCGAGCTATGTGTTCGGAGTGTGTTTTGTGCATGTCAGGCCGTGGCAGAGTTGATCGTGTGCGGGCCTCTGCTCTCCCAGCTGCACGTGCTGGCAGCACCCGTCTGGTTGGGCTGGGCATGTCAGTGAACTCGGCAGCGGCAAGCTGCTTGAGCCAGGCAGCGCGGCACAGGTACGTGAACAGACCCAAGAGCATCTGGGAGGCATCTGACATGCTTGCGATAGCTTGCGCTTGTCTTGCGTGGTGTTTCTGGCACGCGGAGATACTCATGATGGATGTCGAGAACAACGGGCGGCCGCCTTGTCGTTGCGCTGTGTTTCTGATGTGTTGATGCACGAGTCGTGACGGCCTGTCATGGCCTGTGCCCGAGGCCCGTGCCATCGCCGGAGTGTGTCGACGCCATGCAGGACCAGCGTTCACGATACGGCACCCATCGGGCACTTGGAAGGGTCATAGCCACGAGGCCGCCGAAGCGGAGAGGGCCTGTGCTGCCGAAGAGGCCAAGCTCGGAAGGTTCGGCTTAATGCGCTCTCGTGGAGCTTTCTGAGGATCCACCGGACCAGCTTGCTGCCGTTCTGGCTGTCCGCTCTCCTCTTAGATCCCATGCACAAGGAATGCAGAGATATGCAGAGGCAGAGGGACGCAAGTTGCAAACTCTGAGGCTCGCTGGCCAATTTCTTGCAGAGGATGCAGACAGAGCGTTTGTCGGGAGTCGTGGTCCCGTTGATTCAGCTGCTGCTGTGGCCAGTCGCGACCTGAGCGCTTTCGCATTTCCTGTCCACTTCCGGTCTGAGCCAACTGCTCCAACCTGAAAGCGAGCGCGAGGCGGTGCCCGCAGCACTGGCAGAGAGCAAGGCCTGTGGCACACAGGGCAGGGCGAGAGAAATTCTGATTGGCATGAGCTGGCGAGAGCTGCAGTGCGCCGCCGTGTTCTCGAAGTTGGAGTCGGGGAGACTCTGACGGGATCGCGAGCGCAGCTTGCTCAGGGGCCAGCGAACGCTGACAAGACAAGGGCAGCGGTTCAGGCAGGGACATGCACGGTCTTATATTGTTTCTGACAGACATGTTACTTGTAGTGCTGCCATCACACTAGGGCCCCTGACCGCTTCAATCCCACAAACCCGCGATGGAGCACAGTCAGTTCATCAACAGCAAGCGCGGCCTTGTGATTTTGCCTTGGAGGCTCTGGCCGAGCTGTGCACAGCCTGTGGAGTGGAGGCGCCAGAAGTGATGCTGCCTCCATCTGTCTCAGCTAGCCTGCTGGTCTGCGTCGCTGCCAGGAAGCGGCGCTCGCAACCTCTGAGGCACCAAGATAAGTTGCATTGTGGGCATCTCTACTGCAGCAGCAGCACGGCAGATGTTCGCCGGAGGTGTCCGCACAGCAGCGCTCGTCGGAGAGGCCAGCTGCGAACTTGCACCGGTTCGGCAATCACAAGCGGCACCTTTCGTGCAATCCAGGCAGATCTGGCTTCGAGATTGCACTGGCGCAGATCTTTTGGGTAAGGCAGCAGAAGGGGAGCATGACAAGCCACCGACTTCTGCCTATTTCTGCACGATTGCCCTGACATGCAGGAGAAGGGGATCAGCAATCCTTTCCGCGTGGCCGTGCAGGTGCGGGCCTTTCTCGCCAGTCTCGTCTGATCATGGTGCGCTGCTCGCTTGCAGTTTTGAAACCTAGTGAGTTAGAGTACCACAGGCCATGCTCCACGACCAGAGCATGATGGGCGTCTCGGGTGTCTCGGCTCGGCTGTGGTTGCTGGGGCCTTTTCCATTGCTCTCATCGCCGGTGCCTTCGAGGCCTTGAGAATGGCTTTGGACGGTGCTGCTGGGCGGGCAGCGACGACAGCAACGACAGGCATCATCAAAGGGCCCGTGCAAGTGTTTGGGATATAGCCACACCCAAGTGGGATCCCAAGCATCTAAATCTGAAGATGTTCAGGGTGCTTGAAGCTCCAGGGACGAGCTCTGTAATGTGTTGGCTCTCTTCACGAAAGCTAGCGCCCTTGCTTTGGCATTGTTCAGGCAGGCAGCGGCAGTGCATCCGTGGTGTCGGGGTGGTTGCGGGACATTTCTTGCGGAAAAGGGATGTGGGTGGGGGCAGGGAGTAGGAATGCATGCCCGGAGTGGAAGCTGCTGCTCTCAAGTGGTCAATGGTGTGTAGTCTTTCAAAGAGGTGTGCCGGTGTTTGTGTGTATGTATAGCATATGCTGAGTGTCACACAAAAATTCGCTTGCTCCAGACGTCTCCAGACACTCGCTCTGCTTACGCCATCGCACAGTCGTTCACTTGTCGCTCACTGCTATAGCTCAACTCAAGCATTCAGTCTCGCTCGTGCACTGACGCACTCGCTTATCAACTTGCCGCACTCCGCTGACCCGGCTTCTTCACCGAACTTGAAAGCAACAGAGCGCGCCCGTCCGCTCACTCTCTCGCTCAATTTGTGTATCCTAGCGCCGTCAATGACTCGTCATCCACGGCTTCACTCACTCATGTTTACGTCTCTCACAGATACCGCTGCTTCTGTGGTTGCTGGTGCTGTTGCTGGTTCCCAAAGCGTGGGGTTGGCTTTTGTTGGCCCTGGAGTGCCTCTCAGCATACCCTGTGATCTTCCGTGCCGGCGGACGTTTGGAGCCATTCTTCCATCGATAGTCACAGTTGTGGGAGAGTGGGAACCTAAACTCACGCGCCTCCGCCAGTATGGTGCCGTGTGCTGCGGTGGCATCTTATTTGCTGCACCAGTGCCAAGCCCTGGACTCAGTGTGAGAACAAGGCTGTGTGGCTTGCTGCAGCTGCTTAATTTGACATAATATATCGAAGGACATCCACCCGATGCTGCTCGAGACTTCCGGGCTGTTGCCGAAGAAGGCCGATACGGCTGAGCCTTCTGTATAAAGTACTGTGAACTTTGGGTCGAGGTGGGTTTTTTCCAGGGTGGTGTGCTGTGACACGCATCTTGTGACACAGTTGGGGGATGGCATGCAGGCGGCGGCTCCGGCGGTGCCGAAAACCGGCACCGCCGAGAAGAAGAGCATCAAGCGCGAAGGCCGACGGAGCCAGCTCTGTGGCTTCCGGAGGTTGGCGTGCCTTTTGCAGGTGGTCAGCCAAGGCAGCAAAAGCAGACTTTCTGGCAGATGCTGCGATGCTTGTGAAGCACGCAGGCAGCCGGGGCGTCAGAAGTTTCGCGATGTATGCAGGATCAATTTCGACACCATGCTGCAACAAGGTCATTTGATTGATGGAGTGGCAAGTTTTCTGTCACACGGACCGCTTCTTTCCGTGCTTGTCCTTTTCTTGCTTGTCCCTGGTTTCTCGACGTGTCGTATTGTGTTATTCGGAGGGCTCGCAACGGCAAGTCGTAACCATACCGCAGCCGTTCGACTTAGGCGCATCCGTTCCGCATGCCGACGGTGTGCTAGCCTTTTCTTTAGACTGTCACGGCTTGATGCCTTCATCCTCGGACTCGTCCCGCTCCTGTCCTCCCCGCCGTCGGCGGCGAAGGGCCCGGCGGTCTTCGAGTACATCTTCCTCGTTTTCGAGGTTGGCCTCCGGCCTATCATATCAGCCTCTTGACTTTTTCTGTCAGGCGGCCCCGGTCCCGCCTCTCCGCCAGGAGGCCGACCCTTCCTTTCTGCGCTTTCCGCCTTTGCCCTTTGCTGGCTGAGGTCCTTTGGTGCTCAGCTCCGGTCCATCATGCATGGTCCCCAGCTGCAAGCATTTTTCTCTTTTTGCTTCATGTTGGCTCTTCCCAGGCCTGACCCGGCTCCTGGTCCGCCGGTCTCGCCCCCGAAGGCCTGATTGCAAGCTTTGTCCGGTCGTGCTCTCGCCCTGGCTGCTTGACTTGCCTTGTTCTGCTCGAGCGACCCTTGCTTCCCTCCGCAGCCGCTTTCAGCTTTCATCGCTCTTTGCCCTTTCTGCCTTTCGCTCTCGGTGATCATGGCCCGCTTCGGTGGACACGCTCTCCGTGATCTGGCCCGTGGTGTGGTGGGCGCTGCCGTGGGCATCCGGTCCGACGTCGACCCGACTCCGGCCGATGTCGAGGCCCCTCCGGCTCCTGATGCTCAGGCTGTCCCGACGGAGGCTCCGGCCCAGGACACGAACGTGGCTCCGGACCCGGTCCCCCCCGTGGATCCCCCTGCCACCCCGTCCCAGCCCCCTGCCAAACGTGGTGCCGACTTCCTCGCACCCACGCCCCAGAAGCAGCCTCCTAGCCACCCCCCTACGACTGGTGGTCTGCCCGCTGCTCCCGCCGGACCCCCCTAAGAAGAAAGCCAGCTTTCCTCCTGCCCGGCCTTCCACCCCCTCTTTCCCCCCTGCCAAGCCCGTTGCCGCTCCATCTCAACCGGCTCCCAAAGCCCCCGCGGCAGCTGCCAAGGCCGCCCCGCCGCCCCTGGAGACGGACCTGTCATTTTTATGCACTCTTGATGATGATGCGATTCACCGGTCCCTTGCCGACCTGCCACCGTCCCAGGTGACTCGCCTCCTTCTTTTGATCGCCGAAGTCGCCCAGGATGTCACCTATGCCATGGGCAACCTGGGCCAGCTCGACGTTGAGGTTCCGGTCGCGCACATGTCCCAGACCGGCCCGCCTCCGAACCGAGGCCGCTATCCGCAGACGACGCGTGGTGACCTTGCACCTTTGCCGTCCGGTCCGCGCTTTCCGGACCAACAGGCAGCCGACGCCATCCATGCCGGTCTGGACCAGGCCGATGGCACCAGGCCTGATCCCAACCCGCCGCCAAATCCCACCGATGGCGCTGGTGCTGAATCCGGTGGCCTGCGAGTCCTGCCCGGATTCGCCCGCCCCCGCCAGGGACTTTTGACGGACACGTCTGGCATTGACCCGAACGAAGCTCTGGTCCACTCGGATCCCAACCGCCCCGGCTGCACTCCGGTCTTTGTGGACCGTGGCCAACTTACCCCGCGCCGTGCCAATACCGGCCCCTGGACCATCAGCGAAGGCTGGGAGCGCTTGAGCATTTTCCTGCCTGAGACCCCCGGCCCTTTCATCCGCACGGACTCCTGGCCCTGGCCCGACCTCTTTTGCTTTGAGGAGCAGGACTTGCCAAGCTGGGCTCCGCTCCAGGACCCTCCGTCCGTCCTTTCTCACCTGCAAATTCGCGGATACTGTTCGCACGATTGTCCGGCCCGGGGCCCGCACTGTCTCCGCATTTGCCTCCGGCCCGTGATGTTGCATTCCCGGACCGATCACACCGGGCACAAATGCCCGTATTGTATCCAAGACGGGTACTAGGCACCTGGTCCGGACCGCCCCGCATGCCCCGTGCCTTTAATGCCCGTAATCCAACTAGTCTCCTAAGATCATCGTGTGTGGGGTGGCCCGCTAGGCCCGGCTCTTTCTACTTTTCCGCTTCTCGCGGCCGGCCCTGATCCGGTCCCGCTGCGGCGTTGCCTAAAAAGTCGTGGTTCCCCGCCTTGCTGCACCTGCCTGGCTTTTTCAGAGACATGTTGCTTTTCTTGTTTCCTGCCGCCAGGCCAACATCGAGCTGGAGACCATCGAGGATTCGCCGGTCTCTTTCTTGCGTGTGTTTGCGCTTTGAGTTGTATGCCCTTCCCGGCCAGGTACCCGTGCATCCGCCGGTGGCCCCTGCGGGCAACCCGGCCTTGGCATCTGACCTTGGTTCCTTGCTTCATGGCTTTCCCTTGCAGCCCACCGCTGCCGCTCCACTGGTCACACCGCCCCGCCCGCAGCGGTGGTTTTTTTGGGCGACGCCTCCCCGCGTCCTTGCGATTCTCCGGCCTCGGCCCCTGGGCCCTCGGCACCGCCTCATTCCAGCCCCTCGTCGGCATCCTCTACATCCTTTCAGGTCGCGCCGGTCCCTACTGCTCACCCGGTTGGTCCTCCCTTGCCTGGACTTGCATCATTGCTTGTGCCTCGCCTTGGGCTGGTCTTGCCCTGTCTGTCCCGTGCTTCTTTGTCGGACCTGGCTGCTCGTCCCCGGCCCGCTCGGCCTCGGCCTTCCCCCTTCCCCTTGTTCCGCCCTCTTCGCTGCCCGGCTCTGCGCCCTGCACGTTCGGCTCCCACGTTTCCGTTGGGCCCACCACTTTTATCCTGCCCACGGGTACCCCGCCTGCCCCGCGACCCATTGGCGTACCCCCGGGGTCTTTCTGCCTCTTCTTCGGAAACGCGGCCTCCTGTGATTCCCCCGGCTCCCTTTGTGCATTCTGGCTTTTTGCCACTGGCCACTGACGCCTCCGATTCCTCCTCCATGGAATCCACAACTGCTCGCGCCTGGGCACATTTTCGCAACATGTTTTGCGACTTTGTTCAGGAGCTTGGTGACCGTTGCACCCTGTTTTTGCATACCAAGCTGGTACCCGTGCCCCGGGAACTCCAAGCACGTGCCATCGCGAAAAATGCCCCCAGCACTTTGCAGCTTTACTTGCGTTCCTGGTCTGCCTGGGTTCGGCACTGCATCCTTTCTGGGATTGATCCTGCCGACCCGCCGCCCGGTGCACTCCCGTCCTGGCTTCAGTTGACTTCCGCCCCCTCTGGCCTTTCCACCACAAGTTTTAAGGCTTTGAGTTGGATGGCCAAGGTGGCGGGCTTGCCATCTATCCAGGTGCAGTTGCACACTCCGCTTTGCTCCGCGTTTCTCTCCTCGACCGGTCCGGTGGAAAAACGTGAAGCCTTGCCTTTTTCCGTGTCCTTTGTCGTCTGGCTCGAACGGTCCGTCATGGATCCCACTACTCTTCTTGCCGAGGTCCTGCTGCGTGGGTCGGTCTTGTGCCTGATTTGGTCGTCTCTTCGTTGGAACGACGGCCTTTGGTCTCCCCCGTTCCGGGTGATACTGCAATCAGGCTCCACTGCCCTTACCGGTGTCGCCACCCGCACAAAAAGCTGCCGGGCCAACATGCCGTGGGGATGCCAGCTCTACGGGTTGACGGGCTCACCTTCCGCTTGTTGGGGCATGTCCTGGCTTAACGCTCTTCAGCAGTGTGTGTCCGACACCAAACGCATTTTCCCTGACCGCACGGTGGATTTTTTGCTGCCGGTCCTCGGGCCTGACCCTGCCTCTCCGGTGTTCGTCTCTCCTTTGCATCGGTCCCGCGCCATGCCTTGGCTCCGGGCCCTCCTGCAAGAACACTGGCACCTGCATTCCTCCGAAGCCTGCCCGCCCGAGCATTCCATGTATGGGGTTCACAGCTGCAAGGCCACCGTCCTGTCCTGGGCCAGGCAGCTTAATCTTGACCCTGAGCTTCGCCGTCTCCAAGGGCATCACCGTCCGTCCTCCATGGAGGGCTCCGTTCGGGTCTACAGCCGAGACGATATAGGCCCAATGTTATCATTGCAGGCTGAAGTCATTAACCGAATCCGGTCCGGTTACCGCCCCCTCCAGCCAGTGGGCCGCGGCTCTAGCAAACCATTGCCCGACTTTCGGGTGTCCTTGCCGCCACCTGATAGCAACATGGGTGGCATGGCGCCGCGGGAACGCCTCCGGCCGCTCGCGCTCCCCCCGGCGCCGTCCGGAACCGGCTGAAGACGAAGTCGAAAGCACAATCCGGGGCCTCGGGTTCGGACGATGACTTTGCCAAGCCTCGGCCCCCTCGCTCCCAACAGCGAGAGCCCAGCATGAATGGGTTCCTGCACAACACTCGCAGCAACGTCTTGCACCGTCCCGTTCCGTGCCCGCCCGATACTGCAAAGTCCGTGCGCGTGTCGCTGTTGGGTCTGGAACCATTCTGGGTGAAACCGGCCTGTGGGGCCTCTGTTGGTCAGCTCTGCTCTGAGGCATGGTGTTCCGCCCCGCCTGCGGGTGCCCAGCTCTGCCTCCGCCGCGCCTGCCAGACTTGATGCCCCGCCCCGCCGTAAAGATGCTGCATCTGCATGTGCCAGCTCGTGCCAGTTCCATGCGCATGTGGTCACACTTGCT